TGAACGGCGTCTTGTGCGTGTGCTTAATTAAAACGACGTCATATTTACGTGCTCCTAGCGACGTCATATTTACGTGCACCTAGCGACGTCATATTTACGTGCTCCTAGCACCGTCATATTTACGGGCTCCGAGTTACGACATGTTAGCATATTTGTCATTGAAGTGTCACTAGAAGCGCTTTAAACTGACCAAGTAACGGCTGGTCAGCGGTGTTTCAGTCTCGCATCATTAGCGCACTGTCGAAGGGAGAAATTAACTCTTTTAAGATGAGGCAAAAGTCGACAGACTTGATCTGAAACTATCCGGAAAAGTGGCTGCGGTTGCGCAGAGTCCGTTAGGGTGGAATTTTCTGTTTCCGGAGCTAGACAGGAAACAGTGAGCGATATCGGCCGTTGCTCCGTTCTTCATTGTTTAAAAGCCTTTCATTTGGAGCAATAAATAGCATTGTAGGCTGTTTAAGATCTTCAAAGGTGGAAACCAAAAGTTTACAGAGGCAAAATTGGTTTGAATTGTTTATTTACAGAAATCCCATATCCGATTCTCCGCTCAAATTTATGTATGAAGAGATAAATTATAAAGTAATGAGAATTTAAGCGTCGCTTTCAGGGAACAGGAGAAGCTGGTTGAAGACTTGACGGGATAAAGAGTTCTTACTAACATAACGTGCAACCTTTAGAATACGTTTGATTTATCTGAATCACGTCAAAAATGTTGAAACCTAATCTATATGTTAAATCCAGATGATCACCATTACCTAGGTATTATTTATACGCAAAATTAAAATTTTTTTCATCTGCGTTAATTTTTGAGAGACGAAAATTTCTTCAAGTGCCTGATTTCAATTCTTTATTTTGTATGGTTTTAATATTGAAAGCTCGCTAAAGAATCTTAAGTACATATGGTTACAAACTACGTCATCATCCATCACCACGGCACCATCAGGTATCTGAAGTTAAATCAACGTTAATTACGCATTTAAACGCTAAATTTTCGTTGATCGAATATTTTTTAAACTCGATTCACCTGAAGAGTACCTTTCTTCTCGTCGGCCGTGTGCGGCCTCTACCTCAAACTACTACTCTGACTCAAACTACTACTCTAACTCAAACTACTACTCTGACTCAAACTACTACTCTGACTCAAACTACTACTCTGACTCAAACTACTACTCTGACTCAAACGACTACTCTGACTTAAAACTACTACTCTGACTCTAACTACGTCAGTTCGAGTCAGAGTTGCAACACCGGCAGGCTTGTCGTAATTGCCGTGCTACTGTAGCGCACTTTCACCGTCGCCATATGCACGAGCCTTCAGCGGCGCTGCGTGACATACGTGCAGCCGTGCCCGTTTTTTTAACTACGTTCATAAATCATGAGCAGTAATGATTTCATCCTGGATAGATTAAAAACATCTGAACTGGATTAAAAACAGTATATCGTCACTCACAAATATAATAATTTTTTTCAAATGAGATGACTCGTAAAGTTGAAATTGGTATTTTATGATCAAGTTTTCGTCGTCATTGGCGAACCTATAGAACAGAAATACTGGATGAGGAAGCTACTTTGCCATTCTTCTGTATAATTCACTAAGAATGATTTTTATTCTTACTGTTATGTTACTACAGGAATTAAGTGGGCATAAAACACTCGAGTATTTTTTTCCAGAGAATTCCACCTTCCTTAGCTGTCTGTTGTGGTCTCATTCGTAACAACCTCGTCATCTCTAATTAGACCTTTGCCTCACATTCAAACGCTTTCAATTTACCTTCGACTTTTCAGAGAGTTCTTTATGCTTGACCTTAAGGAAGAGGAATGCTACGAAACATGCATATGGTCTCAGCTCCATGTATAGGTTTCTGTGATCTCTGCCAGTGAAAGGCAAATTTTATCTGCACTTGATAGTGCGTGGGTGCGATGGTGCTCGAAGATTGTATCTCGCTCACACCTCCGCTGTATTTATGACGGCGAATTTCGAGGTTTATTGAACGTTCAAATTCATTTTACTGGCTCTCGTGGTCGACAAGGTAAACGGTACAAGTAGTGATGTATTATCGATACATTTATGAACTATTCCCTGAATTAAACGCACGTTCACAGTTCAATACAAATAAATAATTCGATTCCATTTATAATTGAGATGAAGATATGGAAGGGAGATTCAGTGGATATGATTCAAAAGATAAGATTCAGCAATGCAGATATCCTTAAAAGGTTTAACAAAGAATAATATATAATCGCTAGGTTGAAAATTGTGTAATTTTCCATAAAAATTTACCAAATTTTTAATTCGGAACAGAATGCATCGAGTATTTTAATTGTTAATTCTACCAGTGAGTGTTCAGATTTCTTAAAATAATTTGTTAATTCTGAGACAATATTATGATAGATGATAGATGATAGATGTTTTTGCATTTAATGTGTGCATATCTTTAATAATTCCTATTGAAGATTGGTTCTCTTTTCAAAGACATAGTTATTTAATGGTGAAAACGATCGAGATTTTAATGCATAATAATTTAAGAAGAGAGTAGACTTTTTGTGTGAGGCGATGTTTCGATGTTTCTTACCGATGCGTTCATTTTGCGGCATAAGAAGTGCTTATGCGGCCTTCAAACCTTCCTTTTTTTAATAATTTGATGACAAAATGACCCATAAAATTTACCATGATTCCTCGGAGGATGCTTCTGATGCCATGGGTTCTAAAAAATTTGCTATGAAATTAAATTTGTCATGCTTAATGAAAATGTTAAAATCATTCTTAACGCTGGAGTATACACAATAAACATTTTTAGCCCCATTAAAAAAATTGTTATACCTATTTTTGGCCTCATGAATGGTTCCCGACCTTCAGGATTGTGGTGTCAATAACCCTGGAAAGAACCATGCGTAATGATTTAATAAAATGTTAAATAGTAACAAGCTTATTGGAAGTAAAATGAAAAGAAATTCTGGAAACAATAAAATTGCAACTTGAAAAGACAATTAGGAAGCGGATAGATATCTTCCCGTGGTTAAGAAATGAATCATCTTTTATGCCGGTCAATATGGGAACTTCAACGCTCATTCGGTACCGATCTTGCGCCCGGAGCTTATTCCTCGAGTATTATGGCAACTGATGTACTTCATTTCGCTTCATATTTCACGTTTGCATTCGCAGATGCTCTGATATTTGCCTGATTTCTTTTTCAATTTTCGAATGCATTTCTAAAATATAACGAATAATGTATTACTAAACTTTATTCAATATTAGACATTATTCCCGCCAGGGTGAGACTGTATGTCAATCAATATATTTCAATCACTCACTCGTGGATACAATTATTAGTCAAGAGTTGAAATATTTATGTTAGCAAAATATTAAAAATTGTATATAACTCTAATTTCTTTTTACTCTGATTGTTGAATATTATTTCTTTCGCCGTAAAGAAATTCCCCAATCGCTGACATGAAAATGCTAGAGTTTGAAACTTGATTGGGGTTTCCCTCGCTCAACCCGTGGCGTTGGAAGTAACGACGTTACCCAACGTTGGGCTACGGTATAGCGACGGATCAGCCTAATGAATGCCTAACAAGATTTACGTCCATTTAAGTCCAATAAAAGCCGTAATGAGCTTGGCGGTCACGTCATTACGGCAAACTTGATGTTTGATTACAGCTCAACGATACGTGAACTCGACGACCGTGGACTTTCAGGGCGGTTACTGGCCTTGAAGTTTTTTTTTTACATGCAGAAAAATGAATGACTCATGTTGTCCAAAAAGTGACACACTTTCTTACCCACAGCACGATCGCAGAGCAGACGTAGCACTGATACGACCTTTGTCTGGCCAAAATGAACTGCGCAAGAAGAACTGCATAAGGGCAAAAAGTGCGATAGCTGCTCCCAAATTTCATAACTAGAACTTGTGATTGATATTCTTACCAAAATTACCCCTAGTTACATGAAATTACCTTCGCGTGAGATTGATAAATTACCCAGCATGAAAAAAATTTCCAGGAATCATTCACTTAATTCTCAGCCATGAATTACAGACCCGCCGAGAACTGAATTCAACTTTTGTATGTTATATACTGTAGTTTCACGGAAATATTTTAAATAATTGGCCGTGTTACTTGGCAACAGGCAATGATGCGAGACAATTTTCGTGTAGTTGTGACACTACACGAGAGTGACTGAGACGTCACTCAGACGAGAGTGACACTATGAATTTAGGTACCTATAGTTTGGTACGTAAAATTTGCAACTGTCCAACTGAAGAGTCTCTCTAGCAAGTTCATTTGCAATGCATTGAATTATTTATTTGTTTTTTCGACTATCTGAAAGCAATTTAATATCTGAAAGCTATTTTACATACATCCAGAAGCTTTGTGCTAACAACAGTCCTATCTACAGTTTCAACAATTCATTGATGCGTTCATCGACTGTATAGATAGATGAAGGATGTTGAACTTATTATGGATGTAGGATATTAAACTTATTATAGATGTAGGATGCAGAACTTATTATAGTTGTGGAATTTATTATAGATGTAGAAGGTTGAACTTATTCTTCTCGAGCAAAGAAGCAGAACCGAAAAGGTTGCTTCTGAAGCTAATATATGCTATGTCATTAGAAACGGACTCTATTTTATGCCGAATATTCTAAGTTCGTACATTTTATTTATTGATATATATACTATTATTTTGTTTATATATTTTTATCCTACAAGCTGGAATTCTTTAATAAAACGGAACGTGTACCAATGTAGTTATAATTGAAGTATTTAATGTGTATTTTTAATAAACCCAATATCACATTTATCAATATATATGATAACCAATATATATTCTTAAATAGAACAAGTAAACATCGTGTCTTATTTATTTATATTTTGAGTACATGTTTACATTATTTTTTCTAATAAATGTAAATTATATGAGATGAAAATCTTTAAATTTTATTAAGAACTATGTAAATTAGAATTTATTTTAATATTGATTATTTATTGCATCAGGAGTGTGTGGTCCCTACAAGCCTGTGCCGCCCCCCAAGCCCTACCCCCACAGCCCCACGTCGCCCCCCGGTCCTGGTGAGAACATGTCATACTCTGAGAAATGTGTGAGATTTTGTCCAAATTGCGATGCTCTTTTTATCATTATATGGGTCTTCCGGACCCAGTTTGGTGGCCGGTAAATGAGCGTATCAGTTCTACGTACACACTCTGTTCGTACCGCGGTTAAGAAAGTGACTCGGTATTTGGACAATATGACCATTTTTCCTCTCAGTGAGTGCGGTTGATATCAATGGCAGCTTTTGAGAGTTTTTGCCCATAAATTTAATTCACCTATTAATTTTTATGCCGCCTAAAACTTTTTTCCTGGATAATCCCGCTCCCCTGTTTACGTGGCAACTTGAACAAATACATGTTTGTATTGTTTGTTACTTAACACAGCTTCTCTGTGGTCAAATATTTAATCAAATATATATTTTATCAAATATAATCAAATAAAATATTTCGTTTTTTATGAATTGTTGCTGTAGAAAAAAATGCTTAGTATGGAATTCCATAACCTTAATTCTACTCACAGAATTTCAATATATGCTCCGACCTCGACAAATTTCTACTCTCTTTGATTCTCGGTTATTTCCGAGCTCTATTGTTGAATTTTGAATTAACTATTGCGTTGTGTAGTGCCTCAAAACTATTGCGTTGTGTAGTGACTCAAAACTATTGCGTTGTGTAGTGACTCAAAACTATTGCGTTGTGTAGTGACTCAAAACTATTGCGTTGTGTAGTGACTCAAAGCTATTGCGATGTGTAGGGAATTGCAGGGTTCAGAAAATCTGGAAGTTTTATTTACAGCACGCAACAGTGTATGGCACTTAACTTTAACCTTCAAACATTATCCCAAACTGAGTTAATTGCTCCGTCCCTGACACGGCATCTACAGTCAAGTATCAAAATTTTCTCTCGGCAACTAATTTTGATTCTTAGTATCGCTGATGCCAACTCAACATTTAGTTTCATTTTTCTGGCTCTAGAAGTCGAAGAATTGAATATTATAACCTGGTTAATGTGACTTGTTTGGGTAATTTTGTGTATCGTGTTTCTTCTATGTGTGCTTTTAGAAAGATGATAGATGTTCTTTTTTAAAATATTATTCTTTAAAATTCTTGAATTAATTCTGGTTATCATAAGTGGTCTTTCAACCTGTCTCGGTCTGCTCTCATTCACTACCAGCCATCCATTCACAAGCCTCATTTCTATGAATATTATGAAGGAATATTAAGGCTGAAATGATAAATCATTCATTGCCTTTAATAATATTCTTCCCCGAGAAATATCTTTAATAACTCAGTCAATATTAGTCAATATAATATTCACGATAAATGATGCGGCTGTGAATGAAAAGATTTGAAGATATATCATAAGCCTATTCCACCAGTATGCATTTAGCACACCTATAATGAGTTACCTAATTTTGATTTACAAAATCTCGCCGTGGGTTCCGGCCAAGCTGCAATGCCGCCTCTTGGTCACCCCTGGTCACCATTTGGTCACCTCACCCCCTTAGTCACTCCTTCATCACCCTTTGGTCACCTCTTGGTCACCTCTTGGACACTCCCTTGGTCGTTCCTTCATCACCACTTGGTCACCTCTTGATCACCCCTTGGTCACTCATTAGTCACCCCCTTGGTCACTCCTTGGTCACCATTGGTCACCCATTGGTCACTCCTTGGTCTCCCCCTCGGTCACCCCCTTGGTCACCCTTTAGTCACCCCTTGATTAATTTCATCTTTCTTATGATTATGGAATATTTCTTAAGAGTTTTTAGTTTTAATTTCTTGGAAGTATGATAGCGCGATGCAAGCAGCGTGTAATCTCGAGATGACTTCGCTGCATGGCAATCAATAAGAGAAGGGAGCTCGCAGCTTAATAGCTATCTTGTGACGGCGGTAAATGGCGCGCGTTTATCAAAAGGTCAAGTAAACACAGGGAAATGAAATGACTTTGCTTTCAATGCTTAGCATCAAGGTACCACTTTAGATTGGCATCTCTGTTGATGAATATAATTTAATTTAACACTCGCCTCGCATGTCTCATTCTAAGGGCTACTTCAGGTTTACGTTTCACTGCTTTACTCACTTGAACGCTTGAATTTAGAATTATTTAATTAGATATAAGTTTTTTCGAAATTTATCCCTCAATATTTTAGACAAACTTTAGCCCATCTCACCTCAACAAGTGTGATCAGCTATGAAATTAATCAGTAAGATATGCAATAATCCATGGAGCCACGTGTTAAAAAGTTTCGTTACCATAGAAGTTTATTACTGCCAATAATTTGACTTCGTTTAATCACAACCATAAAATTGCCGTTGTAAGACCTAATTTAAATGGTCTGCGAAAGCTGCAGCGTGCGTGTCTTATGCGCCGTACAACTGCACTCAATTATTGGATGAGGAAGTCTTATCTCTTCCTATGACAGTGATCAGCATATTAATTTTGGCTGCCTGCCTTTAACTTTGTCTTCATTATGAGAGCGGGCATTAAATCAAGCATTGGCTGAGCTGTTCTCATGCCTCATAGCCATGTAATTTAGTGGTCGTTGATGGCCCAACTAAATTGTACTGCGTGGCAGATGGAGCGAGATGTGCTCCCACGCTTAGCATGAAGCAGCGCATGTAGAGTGAAGGGAAAAGGTTAACCTCCGGAAGTGTGGAGGTTATCTGCAGGATAAAGCCATGCATGATGAAAAGTAATTTTTCAACATCTAGGGGCTTGCTCGAGCTCTGTTCAAAAAGTTGTCATCCAGACGAGTTGTTCATGGCAAGTGAACATGTCCCCTGATTCCACTTTTTATTTAGCCTGTAAATTTTAATATAAATTTTCGCGATACAGTGTAAGTCTGGCACTTGAATGGATGCCCTCCAAACATCGAATTCAGTTTAGTTGAACAAGCCTCAAATACTCCAACTATCGGCAACGTAAATAATAATAATACAGCATATTACAATTCCTTTATCGGATACGTAAATAAATCTGGAGATAAAATACAAACACCATCTGCTTTGCATGAAAAACATATCAGTCTTTGAATAGATAATCTGCCAAACGCTTCTCATAAATTCGAAAAAATCTCGAAAATTAAATGAAACTCAAACACAACATTATCAAAATTATTAACCAGTGGGATTGACCATGATCCCCTGAGGCAGTATAAGTGATCACATTTCCCTCCATATAATTGGCCCCATAATTGCCCTGGCACCAAACGACTTGAGTGACCTGCTTTAGGAAGGCCTTCAGCTCGCCAGATGGTGGCAAGAGAAAACGGCCAAATCAGATAGCAAAAATAGCCCTAAAAGTCAATAAATTCAATATTTGTTAGTAAATTTTTAAAATACTGTTCAAAAATTCAACTTTCTGTTTTCTTAACGAAAGGTTTAAGTCGTTTTTCATCATTGAAAAATTTAATAGGCTAAGACCATCGTCGATTTTCACCGACCAACTCAATTAGAAAAAGGCCCAAAATAGCAAAAATTGGCCGGAAAAAGGCCCATCTGGCACCTCTGATGTGTAGCGCACCTGGCGACTGCCCGAGGCGATCTTCCTTAAAGAGACTGCGGTGCCACAGGAGCGATTAGACGGCTTCATTATCTCGTCGACCGCCTTAACTGTAATGAAATCTACATACCTGCATGCGGGTGAAATGTAGCGCAGTCTGCGTGCCTGCATGCGGGTGAAATGTAGCGCAGTCTGCGTGCCTGCATGCGGGTGAAATGTAGTGCAGTCTGCGTGCCTGCATGCGGTGGGAACTGTAGTGCAGTCTGCGTGCCTGCGTGCGGCGGGAACTGTAGTGCAGTCTGCGTGCCTGCGTGCGGACTGCGTGCGGTGGGAACTGTAGCGCAGTCTGCGTGCCTGCGTGCGGTGGGAACTGTAGTGCAGTCTGCGTGCCTGCGTGCGGTGGGAAATGCATGCATGAAAATTTATTAATCAATCAATTATATTATACTTTCGCAGAATTTTTTTCTAAATATCGTATGTGATTATAAGAAACTAATACCATTTACTAGAGTGAATAATCCTAACCAGCAAAACATCGTTAAAGTCGGAAAATGAGTTATGCATTGAGTAGAATTTGTGGTCATCCTAATCTTGCATTCTTTTATTCCATGCGAATTTGTTTCAGGTCGTTTTTCCTTCGAATTTCCCTAAAAAAGGCTACTAAATATCTCTAAATTCTGTCCTCTTATGTGAACGTTTCTGATCATTTTTAAAATCAATCTTCCCTTACAAAAATAACTCACTAGTTGTCTCCAATTTTGCCTACAGACGGTGAATATTCCTAGTCAATTTTTAACTTTAATTTCTCCTTAAAAAAATGCTCATTAATTGTTTCCAATTTAGCCTACAGATGGTGAAGATTTCTAGTCAATTTTTAACAATAATTTCTCCTTACAAAAATACTCACTACTTGTCTGCAATTTTAGTGGAGATTTTTTGAACAGTGGAGAAATTATTGTTGATAATATACGTTTAAAAATCACTTTTCAAAGACAACACTTCTAAAGAATCCAGTGTCTCCAATGCTACACATGTACAATGAATTTCTAATTTTATTTTCAAATATTAAAAAAATTAATTAACAATTTTTTTAATATATATAAAAACTAAATTTTCAATAAATACTCACTGTCTCCTAATTCGCCTACAGATGGTGAATATTTCTGGTAAATTTTTAACACTAATTTCTCCTTACAAAATACTCATTGTTTCCAATTTGTGTTTTCAGACGGTGCGGATCCACCCCATATCCTAGTCACGGAACAAGGACGTTTCCACACACACTCCACTAAGTTCCCTGTAAGTTTATACGCAGTTTGATCCTTTATTCATTGTTAGTTAATAATGAATTCTTTTGCATTATATTTATTGATCACATTAATATTATCTACATTATTTGTTCGTAGTATTTTGCACTCGGCACCCATGTTAAACTCTTTATCGGACACTTGTTCATTCGTGACTAATTGTTTAAGCTCGCAAATTATCTTAATTACTTAAAAAATTATTTCGTGGGCAACTGTAAATGAGTTGCACGCACAAAAATAATCGCTACTTTTTTGCATACAAATTTTCACGGAAAATAAGGAATGGTCTATGTATTTATTCGGGATCATTTTAATATATGTTTGTGCAAGTTAATAACGCTACAATTAGCGAAGTATACCTTGCAAATAATCATGTGAATCCTTGATCGCACAACATGAGTTTGGTGAATGTAATAAGAGTAATCAGGAGCACGGCATTGTTTGAACAATCAATCAAACTTTGAATCTTTGAGGTTGTAATTTTCCAGCATATAACCTAATTTTTTTCATTTATGGGAAATTGCAGCGAATACAAATGCATATAAACGTCGTCATGCACGGCACAAAAATGTTTAGTGCCTGAGGTCCTGACTTCTCATATGTGCTGAGCGAATGAAATTTAAATTAGAATGTAATAAAATGCATGCGACCAGGTGGCTTTAAGCTTCAATCGCATGAGGTTTGAAGCTATAATGTACTTGCAAATTCGTACCCATTTCGTAAGTTATCCTGTTAAACTTTGTTACATTAATTTTGTTAAAAGTTGCTCATTTACTTTTTGTCCCAAAAATCTGCTGAATTTTAATTAGAAAATAAATTTTATTCAATTCACCAGCGCTTCATGCACTAATCGAATTTGTATCGCTAAACCAAGAATTACTAGACATCAATGGGTGTAATAATTTTTGTCTTCAATTATTGTATCTGGCGACAAGATGTTGTCTTGTGATTATATCGTATGAAAATATCCCTTGTATATGATATATAAAACAGATCAATACGTGTAACATACGTTAGAAAACTCGTCGTGATGACGTTAAACTATAATGAACAAAATCGAGTTCGCTGGGCCAGTGTTTCGTTGAATATTATGTATAACTGTTGTTCAAGTTTCGGGTTACAAAAGCACTTGTTCTTCCCCATTCAAAAATTATACCTAAAGATCGCATGAGGCAAATTTCCATCCAAAATTAAAATTGTATAGGAAATTTTGTATTTAAAATGTATCGTACTTTTGAAAATACGATGTCGTAAAGTACTGTGTAATGCACAAAGAAATAGAGCATGCGTGGTGAAGAAAATGCACGTTAAAAATGATTTGAAGAATGTTTTTTTTTCGGAACGCACATCACAACACCACTCGCCCTCACTGCACATGATCTGCTTCATCACTTAATATACTTTTCTTACCATTTTTTCGAACGTTTCTATTTTACATCTGCATCTGCTGTTATTCTCGATTGTCTTCATTTTCTTCATTCCTAAGCTATATGCAGCATGAATATCATTGTCTTCTTCGCTATTTTCTCCTCTTTATCTCTCGTGATGATAGTTGTTGTTTGGTCATAGCTTACCTCGCATACTGCTTCATTATTAATAAAACCTTGAACTTTCGCCTGCCCAGTACAAAATCTTCGTACTGGGCAAAATTGCTAGCTTTGTACAAATTTGCAGCACAATAATTTGGGCACACATGTTGGTCAATAAGTGTTGATTAAAACAGTAACCATGAATATTTTGACTGCAATATGATATTATTAAAAATAAATTCTGAAATTATTTTACATAAATATAATTAGAGTTTCGTAACGATTCCTTTATGCTAATTCCATGTTTTAGCGCCTTTGCTAATATCTTTCTGTACTAACAAACTTTTTTCATTCTCCCTTTCATATACAATAAAATACATAAAACACATCACACACAAGACCGAAAAGCTTGAAAATGCCAATCAAACGTGGAGGAATCCAAGCTGCGCTCTAGCTCCTTCAAAATTCCAGCCAAGTCTCTCATGCTCAAAAATTCCTTTCCCGAAAAGCTCACAACTTCAATCAAATTCTCCATCCAACGGTTTTCATTTCTCAAATGCATTACTCAATTCGAATTTTACGCCTTCTGCAAGCCAAAATCTCCCCACAATCCTTTCAAGACTAGGATCCGTCACAAACCAGGACGAAACTCAGCTTGTTCAAGCACGACCTCTTTGCAAATCCGACGTCGATTCATCATCCAGATCTACGGGGACTTTGGATCGCAGCGTTAAGTGGGTTTTCTCATCCACCGTCGATGAAAGCCATTCTTCTGTTACAAGCGACAATGTAATTTCATCGGGTTACTCCAAGGACCAACTGCAGTTCGCTGGCCAGACGTGCAGAACCAGAAGAAGGAATCTAAATTTCGGGCATCTCGAGTACGTTAAGCGACATCAAACTGATCGCGCAGCAGGCGGCTTGATGAATTCCTTCTCAGCCGTGTCTTGTACGGACATACATTCTTCGGGTAACGCAGGCGAAGGCAGTTCAGAACTCCCATTTAGCCAAAGTGACAAAGACTACCAAATTATCGGATCGTCTGGTACGTCTGGTTGCGTAGTACTAGTGCGTAAAGGAGGCTCGCTACCAAGACTTCCATCGTCATGTGATGGAATTTTCGTCAAGGAGACGGAATCTTACTCAGCAATTGCTAAGTTCCTGAGGCGTCAAAAGAACAAGCAAAAACTTGGGGCAGTATCGCAAAGATGTGAACAGAAGAAAACTCCGCGGGTATGGCTCTGTTGATCTTAAATTAATAGCTCTCTGCTCTTGAGCTTTACGAAATATTTAAATTTAAGAAAATAACTTTAGTTCAACCGAATTCACGTTGACTATCACCACCTGTATCCCACATTACATAGGAGTACGGACAGTTAAAATGGCCCAATTTAATGATGAATTTATGGATTTAGAATGAAGCATCTAGTGGGAAATATAACAAATCACTCAGTTCAATATTAGTGCTTGATTTAAACTTGTGTATGGAATGATACTGTATGTTTGAACTACAATTACTTTGGTGCTAATGTCTCGGTCAATAGTCAAATAGTTTGACTATAAAACGAACAAAATTTCGTTTTTTTGCTGTTAACCCTAGTCATATTTTTTCGATAGAAATATCTTTATCGGTTATAAATTCTGTTACGCATGGTGATCTGAACTTTTCTTATTGCCAGCCGCAGCAACCACTGCCCCCTCACGCCATCGGTGCAACTGGGGGTTTACACAACGGCTCTGGTAGTACTTCTGGACTTGGAGGTTCTTCTGGCCCTGGAGGTTCTTCTGGACTTGGAGGCTCTTCTGGACTTAAAGGCCCTGGACCTCTGCCTCTCCAAGGCGGACCTCCCGAAACATCGTCTAGACCTTCCACTCAGGGCGGCGACGACCGAGACGTTCTACTTCCAGGCCAGGACCTCAACATGGTTGGTGTGCAGGATATGGTATGAAAAGAATAGAAGTGTCGGCACTGAAGAAATAAGCCCATTGCCTGTTGCCGATTCTTGAATTTTTCGTGACTTGATTCACAAGGGATCCGGCCTTTGGAAACCGATCTTTCCAAAACTGACGATTGATTGAGATAGCTGCTGGACTTATTGCCTGGTGGATATGTAGCCCGTACGGGATCAGTTATTTTCAATAAGTAGAATATTTCTTTATTCCGATCATGATCATTTGTCTATTTTTCCTCTTTTATGATTCCACAGATAAAACGAGTCAAAATCTTGTGTGGCAATGCTGTTTGGGAATTTGAAATGTATATAACATATTTAAAATAATTTATGAACAAACTCTATGTCAACATAGCTTGTTGCATTTTTTTCTTGACTTTATGCTGGATAAGTAAATTCATCATATTTTATTTGGAAACGTTTTCACTTAATAAATATTAAATGAATGCGAGAAATTATTTTCGTTTAAATTCTTAAAGAATTTTATGTATTAAGTACAAAGCATCGTTATTTTTAAAACTCACTCGCTATTAAGAATTGCGTTAGACTATAAATCAATACTTACAATTATCATCCTCAATTTTCAGCCTTCTGCGAGACCAAGTAACTCCACCATCCCACCGGAGGGAACTCTCGCGGGACTTCTTCCTACTCAGCACTATCATCCCCTGCAGCCTGATCCTCACCATTACAACCCCCAGCCGTACAAATCACACCAAAATATTCACTCCGTTCAAAAGAACTCTACTGATCATCCATATCTTCACATACCTACAAATTCTGCAGACTCTCCCTACATTCATGTCCCTAAGAATTCTGCTGATTCTGGGCCTGGCCACCTATCTTCTGCTGCAGCCAATGGGAACCTCGGCATTCCCATTAATGGAGATCTGAATGAATTCCAACCTCATGGCGGCATCTCAAGGGAGACTTGGGCCCGAGCCTCGCAAGGCCTGAGAATGGTTTGTAATTGATAATTTCAGGCATTTAATATTTTAAGAAAATTATAATCTTGCAACACAGTCATTGATAAAGTATTTCAGGGAGCATTTTTTACAATGTTTTCATATGCTGATTTACATATTACCCGTAGCTGACTGAGAAATCATGCATGCTTGGTTTACTTTCAGAGAGATCCTCACGCTGTAAGTGAACACCCACGAAATGGCCATATCCCAAATGGTGTCCTTCCAAACGGGGTGTTAAAAGATGGTGAATTTCACCCTGTCCCTCCACCTAAGCCCACTCATAATGGCCACGTTAATGGCCATTGGGGTCACCTCAATCACGGATACCAGCACACATCTGATGGAGGAGTAATAGGTGCCACAAATAACGGATTTCGAGGAGAAGAAATGAACAAGCATCATTTTGTTAACGGATACCATCAGACCTCTAATCACCAGGAGAATCACAGTAATGGGGAAACAATCCATTTACATAACGGGTCTAAAACGGACACACGACTTCAGCCTGAAGAATGCGTTCGAGGCACCCAAAGTAATTTTAATGGTTATGTTCAGCCGATCAATGGACATTCCCCCCAATCGACGACCTCTGCTCCGGCCGATGAGATCAACACTGCCAACGAAAGGCAGGAGGAGCAACGAAAAGATGATCGTTGGGGTTCCTTGAAAAAGGGCTTGAAGTATACCAACTTGAAAGGCATAATTGCTAGCAAATTTAGCGGAAGACATGAATCAAAAGAAGACCATAGGAATGCAATGATTGCATCCTCTCAAAGTGCGGAAGCCCAAAAAGTGCACTCTTTGGACGAATCGCTTAACAAACGCGAAAAAAATACCAACTTGATGTTTCAATCCAGGCTGAACCAAACGTCAAATTTCCCAGGTACTGGAAATTGTAATAGAAACGCCGATATTGAAGAAGTGGTACAAGCAAATCATGCCCCACAGAACACAGCCCCGAACGGCTTTCATTATGGAGCTCCACTACGAAGTTCTGTTGTTCACTTCGACCTGCCGAAGTCTAATGAACGCTTGGGAAACGAATTCGAGACAAACGGCAATCAAATGCCAAAAAGGTCTGGTTCGTATCATCAGCTGAACCAACAGCCGATCCAGCAGCCTCTAGTCCAATCTCAACAGCAACTGTTGCGCCAACAAAACAGATTTTATTCCTCTGAAATGAACGATGTTTTGCCCTCGGATCGCACGTATGGATCAAACGGCCGAACAGCTAGTATTGGAATGCTCTCAACAGGTGATTATTTCATCAGTGCATCCAACAGTTTTGCCGCAAAATTCAAGAATTGAATTAATTTTTTAAAGTTAGATGAAAAATTCTTATCTGTATTTTAATTTTTACTTAAGCGTATCTTAATTAAATAATTCCGGCAGCGGGTGCAGAGGGCACTAGCAGCACAGACTCCGGCAGAGGCACGGCAGGCAGCGGCGCTGGTGTAGTAACAGATCGCCGGAGTGGCCACAACACCAGCGTCGACTCCGGCGCCTCGTCTAATAGACCGAACGGCCATTCTTCCGGTGGGTGATGGTCTGACTCCTGAAACTCCCAAAAGAAATGAAATTATCAGAGTAGATCGAGTCCAGATGGAGGGCTATTTATTTATGATATACCCTTAGTTGATGCGCACGTTGTGGCAATCAATGCTTTATTCTAACAAATAACTTGTTGGTCTAGTGTTTTGAATTAAGCGTAGCTGACATCCAAAAAGTCAAAACCATAGATAATACACCAATATTTAACAATAAAATATTTAAAAAGTTTAAGAAATTCACTCGGTAGTGGACATACGAGGATATTGGCTCTGACCAAGAACTGTCATACTGGCTAGTGCGTAGAGAATGATAACAGACTGAAGCTAGAACATGTAAGTATTAGTCGTTATCTTTGTATGATGTTTATTTCACCAACCAAATATTAGTTCTCTTTTTTGCAACATTAGGAAACTGTCCGTCAGTTCCAAAGACGGCAGGAAAGTGCGTGAGTTCCGTTGATGGGCGCGTTGAAGTCTTCATTACGCATTATATTGTACTATATTCGCAGCTAAACTGCAGTTTAAACTGCAATATATGAAAATTTCAACACATAAAAAGGTTTTTCAAGTAACTCAACTTATTTCATTTATTCATCCCTGGAACATCAGAATAAAATGAGTAAAATTTTCAGTAGCCCCTCGCTTGCAAGAGGGATGTCGTTTTTAGAATCGGAATTTTTTTAGGATCGTATTATTGTACGATCGCACATTTTTTTATGACCTAGGACACGATCATACATTATTTCGTATGACCTGAGACACGGTCATACACATTTTTGTATGAAATAAGACATGACAATGATGCCCGTTCATATTCAGCAGGAAACGACTCGGAGTGGGTGGACATAACCGAATCCGACGTCAACAAATCCCACGCAAAAAATGGATTTCCTCCCCAAGCTCGAGGTCCCCAACAGAGATTCCCCATCGCCATGGCTCCCCGAAAAAGTCCCTCAGGCAACGGACCGTCCAACGCCCCGGTCATGGGGACAGCTAACCTTGGGGCGCTCAGGAACTCTGGCCACAACGCCAGCAGGAAAAGCCTCGTGAGGCGTGAGTCCTTAGCAGCCACGCCTCCCCTGCCTCCCCTCTCTCCTGAGGCGTCCCCAAGGGCTTCTCTCCACGCCTCACCTTCACGGGCTGAGGGCAACCAGCGGAGATCTTTCAGGTGAGGCTCTCGCTATAATACAGGAGATGGACACTCAAATAAATGAGGGGGGCGTTGTCCAAATAGTGTTTGGGTCATCCTGATGACCCAGGACTAGGACACCCAAAAGATGCCCTTATGTGGGTCATACTGACCCAGTTTTACCCGCAAAAGGGAACATCAGTGCTACGTCCGCTTTCTGCTTCAGCTGTGGGAAAGAAAGTGTCATCGATTGGACAATATGACTCGTGCATTTCTCTCAGGATGCTATCAAAACTTGCTTAAGTTTATTAGAAGTTGTTTTGTTTTTAAATGGAGTTCTTTAAAAATAGCTGCGTTACTGACAGAAAATATTTTTGTTGACAGTTCTTCAGTTCTTAATCAGCCTGACCTCCTCGAGGCGGCTGACAGACTCCGTAACGGCCTTCCAGTTGACCTCAGGTGGGAAATGATGGATATTCCAGGAAATGATAAGTCCAGTTGACCTCAGGTGGGAAATGATGGATATTCCAGGAAATGATAAGTCCAGTTGACCTCAGGTGGGAAATGATAAACATTTCAGGAAATGATAAGTCCAGTTATCCAAAGTTGGGAAATGATGGCTATTCTAGGAAAAGAAAAGTCCAGTTCCCCGAAGTTGGAANCAGCTTCATGGTGAGACGAGGTGAGACGAGCTTGGTAGGATAACAGCTTCATGGTGAGACGAGGTGAGACGAGCTTGGTAGGATAACAGCTTAATAGTGAGACGAGGTGAGACCAGGCTTTATATGATAGATCTAATCGATATTTGAGCTCATGGAGATCTAGTGACGAAAGGAACGAAATTTGTAAGATTTTGGACCTTCTTGCATGAAATAATGTTAAAATTTTATATATTCGAATCTTTGAGCCGTATACTCAGTGTGTATATATAGAATATATAGATTGAGGAGGAGAATCTAGCGCTCTTTATTGAAATTTTGATCAAATGCTCATTTCAAGTAAAAGAATTTCAAGCCTGAACTTCAATTCAATTTTAAATCAAAAGGTTCGGATGGTCTAATAAGAACACAACTGTTTTCTATTAACTTGATGACATTGTAAGTCCAATGAAAGAAGTTATTAATTACAAATCTATTCGCACTTACTCTCTGGGAATAACCCGAAGATATTTAATTATTGAAAAAACAAACTCTGGACTATTTGTTTTGCACATAATATTGAAGGTTGTATAATATTTGTATTACTGCACGAGTATTGGAGAATACAATGAATACAATTAATAAATATACTATAAAATATTAAACTCTTGGCCGTTTTCTAATGAATAATATTTCTGTTATTGCACGAGTATTGGAGAATACTCTGCAGACATTTATTGGATAGATATAATATTTATTGGCCTTTTTTTAATTAAATTGAATGTTAAAGTTAGATAAATATAATAATTCTGGGCCGTTTTTTAATTAAATTGAATGTTGAAGTTAGATAAATATAATAATCCTGGGCCGTTATTTAATTCAACAAAACGTTGAAGGTGTTGAAGTTGCTGGGAGGTAATGGTGGTCGTAAACTGAAGTCGTCGCGTCGTAGGCTGCACGGCTCCATGTCCTCCCTGCCATCGTCCATCGTGTCCGCCACGAGGCTCAAGGATAAGCGCAGGAGCGCTGCTGGCCTCCTGGAGGACAGGCTCAAGCGAGGCCCTGCACGTGATGGTGGCAAGGTCAGACTTGGCCGCTTGATAAAATAATGGGTGGGTCACACTGACCCACCTTTTATATGACTCATTGAGTCATATTGACCCAAATTGTAATGAAATTTGAAGGCATGTTAGGTAGGCATTTTCCATGTCATAATTGCTCTGAAATTTGCATGCAAGGTCGTGCATGGCCGCGAAAACTGCACTGAAATGTGAAATTAGACTAATAAAAATACTACTTAAGTAGCCGCAACACTTATGTCGCCACAACACTTATGTCGCCGGCCTTCAAGAAAAAGCGTTTTTCTAAACATACCGAACCATATCTCGCGAGATTTAATCAGCTTCGTAGTTATTATGTTATAAGAGAGCACCATAAATCGACAAGTATTATACGGTTTTACGTATACTTATTTTTCAGTGAGGGAGCAGCTAACTAGGGAATCTTATCTTCTGATTATGCATTCCGGAAAATGGTATCCAAAATGTCATATACTTCTGTTGAAAGTCTTAGATTTGATGCAAATAAAATAGATTCGAAAACAAAACACTAAATTAATATGTTAATTTGAATGAACTAGTTACTTAAATTTAAGCCTTCGAAGGCAATTAAATCCTGCTTAAATGTGACGAAGAATACTTTCTTTCTTAGTTTATGACTAAGACAGTCACGAAGAAATACAAATTATTAAATAAAGCTCATATTATTATTAAGAATCCGATAAAAAATACTTTTATTATTTCTAATGACTCAAATAATCATGCATCAATGTAAATTATCAAGCAAAAATTTTATTTACATTTGTCTGTGTTATTACACACTCAGATAATCATGCATCAATAAAAATTATTAATTAAGAATAATATTTAATTAGTCTATATTATTGCAGGGTATCCAGCGGCGCTTCCAGCGTCTCGAGAGCCACGTCGTGACGCTCGCACGCAGCGTCGCGCACCTCAGCGCAGAAATGCGCTCACAGAACGCTATATTCCAGGTGAGCGGGATAATTATTAATTACTTATTGGTATTTATTTATAATTAAATTATTAATTATGCGAAATAATAATTCATGGTAACTAGGACGGTCAGAATAATTCACGGTGAGTCGGAGGGATCACTAACGATCACTGCAATCAACGATCTCTGCAATTCAGTGTATTGAAGTAAGTGTCAGTATACTGAAGTAGGTTTAGATGATCATTTGAGAGAAAAGGAGGGAATAATCTATAGTGCAGTATAAAATTATTGTATAGTATATTAAAGTATAGTTGCAATCACTTCACAATATAGGCCCGGGTATAATGGCGTGAAGTAGTTGATATAGTTTTAGCTACAGGAGTAAAGGCAAGGTGATACTGAAATTAATTTATTTAAAGGAATTAGAATTCGTAACATTAAAACGTATCGTAAGAAAAAACCTACGAAAAGCAAATTATTAAATTTCTTATTTGATTTGTAACTAAACTGATATATATCCCAATACCGCCTCAATGATACTTTTTCAATCTTTATGCATGATATTCATGAAATGATTCACGCAATTAATCATTATGTCCGGGAGATGGAAAGTATCCGGAATGACATCACAGCGTCCTGCATTTTTCTAAATTGTATCATTGATCATTGCTCTAATCAATACGTATGATATTCATGAAATAATCAATTAAATTAAACATTCATGTCCAGGAAATGGAGAGCATCCGGAATGACATCACCGCGCTCCGCACTTCAGGCATTCCGCAGAACCACATCGCCACGAACCCTGTCCGCAACGGCGCCATCCACAACAGCAAGAACAACTGGGATATTTTCAAGACCGGCGGCCCTGGTCTTAATAATCCTAATAGAGTTAAGAAACTCACGCAATTCTTCGGAGACGAGCCTCCGCTTGTCAGACTTTTCCTCAGAAAACTTGGCTATGAGGTGAGAAAATATTACTAAATAATAAAAAATATTATATTAAATACTAAAAATTTATTTTTTAAATAATTTTACCATATTTCTTATAATCTAGTATCATGTTCTAAAATATAGTTCGTAATGATTGTAGGTTTTTTTTGGGTAATTTCCTTTAAGTTAATCTAATTTCCCTTTTTCAATTTATTTTCCTCTTAGCCTATCAATTTCATCTAAGACTCTAAGTCAATCGAATTTCCTGTAATTAAATTTATCTTCCTCTAAGCCTATTTAAATTTCTACAGTTAAATTTAATTAATTTTTCAGAAATACGCGCCGGTGTTCGAGCAGGAGAAGATAGGCATGCTGGAGCTCCCATACCTCGACGAGGACCGCCTACTAAAGCTGGGCATTCCTTTAGGACCGCGCGTTCGTATCCTGCAGGAGGCCCAGGGTCCTATCACCACCGATGGCAACCTCAGCGTTTACGTTGTTTGAGTTCACAAGAAATGTAGAAGAAAACTATCAAAAATAGTTACGACAGCGTTTACGTTGAGTTCACAAAAATGTGGAGGAAAACTATCAAAAATAGTTACGACAGCGTTTACGTTGTTTGAGTTCACAAGGAAGTAGAAGAAAACTAACATAAATAGATACGACAACGTTTACGTTTTATGAGTTCTCACGAAAATGTAGAAGAAATCTACCAAAAATAGTTACGACAGCGTTTACGTTGTTTAAGATCCCCTGAAAGGGCCGTAATATCAAAAATAGTATTAATAGTTACTCCGGCAGCAAATCACTGACACCTTTCAAGCTAACCACACCAATCTCAGAGCAGAAATCGTCCGCTACGTGTACATTAGCCGCTACGTGTACTAAGGCCTTAACGTATATTTTGGTCTCTACTTGGATTTATGGGCTTATGCCGCTAAATGTACTTTGGCCGCTACGTGTATTTAGGCAGCTAACTGTACTTAAGCAAACTACGTGTACATAGACCGCTTTGTATTTAGGCCGCAGCGTATAATTAATTAGGCCAATACGTGTATTCGGGACTTTACGTTTACTTAGGCCGCCACGTGTACAAGCATCAAGATACGAGCACTAGTACACCACCATCATACGAATTCCAAGGTCCTAGTCAAATTAATTTTTGAGATTTCATTCAATCAAAGCGAATTCCATTTCAGGCAGAGAGGAAATTTTATTCATTCATAATTTTTGAGGTGTGAGAATTGAAAATTCCCTTCGATACTTAGGCTCTTCTATGTATTTTAATAATGAAGAGACGAAATTTGTGGCGCCATAGATGTCCTTGAATTTTTTACATTTGGCCCATCAGATCGAGGTGCTACACACGAGCTTTGGAAATATTTTCGAATTTGATAGATTTTGAGTTGAAAATAATCACTTTCGAAAAAGTAGGAGCAGCCTTATAACTTATAAGGCTGCACTTATAAGTGCAGCCTTATAAGTTTAAGTGCACTAAATTTTGTTTACTCCAGCCTGCACCAGCTTTGCGTAGCTATCATTAATTGGTAGTTTGATTTAATTAATTAATTTGATTTAATTAGTCATTTCTGACGATAAAGCCGCCGGAATGCTGGAGTAATTGGACCTTGGCATCATTGGGTGAAATTGAAGTGTGGCTAGCGTGATTTTGTGGCTTTCATTTAGTGAACTTAATTTAATTGTAAGATTTATTGAAACTTTTGACTGAGAGGACTGGTAATTTTCAGTATTATGCAAAGCTCAACTCGTTTCTATGTGCTGGCTCTTTCATTTTTAAGAATCAAAACAACCATTCCATTCCAAAGAACTACTATGTTTGTATTGTATTGTGCATATTTTAGAATTGATAAGATAATGTTACTAATATTTCTAAGGCATCGATTATTTTGAATAGGTTGATAATTATATCTGCTCCATAACAGGCTCGTTTCTTTCAATTTAATCCTAATTCGTATCCCGAGGTTTCAACTCGCAAAATGTTCCGGAGTATTCGTATCCATTTCCCTGAAAACGAAAATATTATTCTGAATGTTTCAACGAAACATTTTTAACCGATATTATTTGAAGGTTCTGAAAATGACGATTTTAATGTGCGTTATTTAACTTTTACTTTTTCACGTTAGTTTGTTACGTTTATTTATTGCAATTCAAATTGTGATTTAACATTATGCTTTGAAAGCATGGCACTATTAAGTTTCGGTGTAGCTGCATTATGTTAGTTCATGCGTGTTTAAATGGTTACATTTCAGTAGGTATATGCGATGAATTTTGACTCAGCTGCGCAGTCAGTTTATGGAATTTTTAGTTATTTTTGAGTAATTTTTAGTTAAGGCGTCTCCGAAGAAAACCTGAGCAAAATGTCTTGACTATTCTAAGCAGTCTCCTTCTGGGCTTCATCCTCCTCAAACTCTTCGTCCTCAACAGCAGCTTCTTGATACTGCTGATACTCTGAGACCAAGTCGTTCATATTGGACTCCGCCTCAGTGAACTCCATTTCGTCCATACCTTCTCCAGTATACCAATGCAAGAACGCCTTGCGCTTGTACATGGCGGTGAACTGATCGGCAATCCGCTTGAAGATTTCTTGGATGGATGTCGAGTTTCCGATGAAAGTGGCGGACATTTTCAAGCCTCTAGGAGGGATATCACAAACTGCTGTCTTCACGTTATTGGGAATCCATTCAACGAAGAAAGGGGAATTCTTGCTCTGGATATTGATCATCTGTTCGTCAACGTCTTTCATGGACATTCGCCCTCTGAAAATAGCAGCCACTGTGAGATAGCGTCCATGGCGTGGGTCGCAAGCTGCCATCATGTTCTTGGCGTCGAACATTTGCTGAGTTAATTCAGGCACGTTGAGGTTGCGATAGTTGGTCGCATTGCGGGCAGTGAGTGGAGCAAAACCAGGCATGAAGAAGTGAAGGCGAGGGAATGGCACCATATTCACGGCCAGCTTCCGAAGATCTGCATTGAGTTGACCAGGGAACCTGAGACAAGTCGTCACTCCCGACATGGTTAACGAGACCAAGTGGTTGAGGTCACCGTAAGTTGGCGTTTCCAATTTAAGTGTCCTGAAGCAAATGTCGTAGAGTGCTTCGTTGTCGATGCAAAAAGTAGAATCGGTGTTCTCAACAAGCTGATGAACAGACAGCGTTGCATTGTAAGGCTCTACGACAGTGTCCGACACTTTGGGTGAGGGTACAACAGAGAAAGTGTTCATGATCCTGTCAGGATACTCTTCTCTGATTTTAGAAATGAGCAAAGTCCCCATACCGGAGCCGGTGCCACCTCCAAGGGAGTGTGCGAGTTGGAATCCTTGGAGCATGTCGCAGTTTTCGGCCTCTTTTCTGACGATGTCGAGGACAGCGTCGACCAGTTCAGCGCCCTCCGTGTAATGACCCTTAGCCCAGTTGTTGCCGGCGCCGCTGTGGCCTGAGGTGAGTGCAAACACTTCTTAATTATTAATGTCAATTAGGATTTTCACTCCTTGATTTTGATTAATCTTTATACTCATTGCTTTTGATTAAATTTTTACGATTAAAATAATAATCGATTTATAATATATTTATTATATAATAATAAATAAGTCGATTTTCATTAAACTTTTTACTCATTGATTTCAACTAAACCTTCATTCTTCACTTTACTAAAATCGTTTTTCCCTTTCAATGAAGCAAGTTCAATCATCTAATTTTTATTCCGGTTCATAAAATCGAGAGATAGCATTCAATATGATATTTATAATCATTTGAAATTATATAATATAATTATTTATAATAATAAATTAGCTTGGCTGACGATGAGAGTATAAGTTCGGTAGGTACGTCAACATGTAATAAATGTTATGATTGCAAAAGTTTTATATTTATCATGGAGTCCAAAAGTTGTGTGTACAGCTATTCTTTTTATTGCAATTCATTTGGTATAAATTTCCCCCGTTGTTCCTCACATGTCAGTAAAACATGATTTTCAAGTCATTTTCGTTGAAAATGTTGGGGCCTCGAGCGAAAACTTTTCAAAGTTGTAAATGATCTTATTGTGTTACTTAAGGCAGCAACCAGGGAGCTCTGAAAAATTTAAAGAAGCGTTCACTATCATACCATCAATCATACTAAATTGAAATAGATAATTTAACATATAGAGAGCATGAGAGTTTAAAGATAATAACGTGCCAGCTAGAGAGTGGGGTGTGGCACCATTCCTGCCGCAATATACAGGTTGAAGTCATCTTGATTACCTTGGTTATATTCTCCTATATAAACACAAGTCTTACAAAGACAAGCTGTACAGTGAGTATATTTGTGCAGTATTTAGGCTACTCCACCCATCCACTGCGATGCCTTCGCCTAAATGAACCCGCCCTAGTCTTCTAATTCCCGGTAAGCGCCTTCACATATACCAGACTTAAACTATTAATTCTTACAAATTCTTTTAATAAAATGATGGTAAAAGTAGCAAATTTAACAAATTTAGTACTTTATACGAACGTACAGCCATCATATTTTGCTCTTTAAAGCTGAATTTTGAAATATTATTGTAGGAATAACATTGCAAGTGGCTATAGGATTGGGCCTAGCCTCAGGGAACAGTTTTTTAATTGATCAAGTGAGCCAGAACAGTAATGAAGTAGCCTGGAGGCTTGGGCTGGGTCTTTGTCGAAAATATTGCCTTGCTTTTTAAATTGCATTTTCAGTTTCATAATAATATACTTAGACTGACAGCCTGCTCTTAATTAGCTTGACCTTGTATATAATTATGGGTCTTGAATTTTCTTACTAAATCGCTTTCAGTCGTCATTAGTGAGAATAATTACGAAACTGTGAATAAATACGCATATCTTGACCTAATTATGTTCTCGCAACTCGGTGTTGCTAAAGTCCAATCGGGCCAGAATCTTTTTCATTTCGAATTAACGCATAAAAAAATACTGATTATATTTCTTGTATCGCTGATGCCTTGAACCTAATTAAAACTGTTCTGAAATACTTCCTGAATCCACATCAGCGAAATAACTTTTAAATGATTCATCGCATTTAAGCAATAGAAAATTGTAGAGAAATTGCCTAATTTTCTCATTTTCATTTATTTAATTGCTTCTATATTATATTCTACTGATTCATTTAATATGAAGTCAAAGTTTTATAGACACTTCAACTTTGCTTAAGAATTTCAAAACATTTCTACAAGTTCAGGAACAAGTTTATGCGCATATCAAATTATATTGTGTTAATTAAAGTCTCGATCCTCAACTGCCAGTCTCACCTGTGATGTACTCATCTGGCTGAAAAAAAAAAAAGTTTTCTAACATTGCCCGTTCTTTTATCAATTTGCAGAGCGCCATTTAAACATTAAATGCACATGACAAGTCTCACCAAAAATGTAGTTCTCAAGCTTAAAGAGATGCCCTTTAATAATATGCAGAACGGTATTTAAAATTTTTGATGAGTTGTTTTTTATCAACATGCAGAGCATGTTGATGTTTTTATCAACATGCAGATAATGTATATCTATACATTAAATATGTATGTCAAGTCTCACAAAAAAATGTAGTACTCAAGCTTAAAAGATGCCCTTTAATAATATGCAGAACGGTGTCTAAAATTTTTGATGAGTTGTTTTTTATCAACATGCAGATAATGTATGAATATACATTAAATATGTATGTCAAGTCTTACCAAAAATGTAGTTCTCAGGCTTGAAGAGATGACCGTAGGTTCCTGCTTTAACAGAGTCCATGGTGCCAGGCTCGAGATCGAACAATATCGCGCGTGGGACGAAATGGTTCGTGGACGAAGCTTCGTTAAAGTAAACGTTGATTCTTTCGAGCTGCAATTCTGCGATGTCTTTGACGGTGCCGTTATGAACTCCCATCGCGTCCAAGCCATGTTCGTCGCTGATGATTTCCCAGAACTGGAACGGTATATGCATTAAGTTTTTCATGCTTTGGCTGTAAACAATTTATTCCAGAGATAAAAGGGTCCCCCAAGTGGCCGAAAACATAAGACTAAACAAGGTAATCCGTGAACAATATTTCGTTATTACTAATCTTCACATTCCTCGCATTACATTCGATTTTGTTTTCCAGGTAAAAAGACGGAAGAAGCGGTCGTGACATTTATGTTTTTTCAAATATATTTGCACTAGCGATAACGTTTTTTATGTATTATATGCAAGCTTTTGGCATTTCAAGTGCTTATGAATCATTCGCCTAATCTTAAAAGTGCTACTTAAAAACTTTTATCACTATAATATTTCTCTTTGTCTTATTGATTTGCTGCCGCTCAGTTTATTTATATCAGTTTATTTATAGCAGCTTAGTGTAACGATGGAGAGCTAATCTTCATTTTGGTGTATTCAAGCCGTGCATATTGTTACGCAGAATCCTGTTACAACTTAAACATCAAAATAATTTTAGTGAGAGGAAAACGCTGAAACTGAAACTGAAAACACTGAAATTCAGTCAACATCAAATTCTGGATCAGCGAACCAATGCACGACTGAAATTTTGTTTTGTCATTTGTTGAAATAAAATGTAATCTACTAAATTAGAGCAAAAATTTATAACATCATTTTGATTCGGTGATACATGAAATTATGCTCAAATAGAAAGCTTATACAGAATTTCTTTATTTAATATAAGCACGGTTAAATGCGCTTGAAATATATCGTGCAATTGAGATCAAATCCAGTGCAAAAAATTCAGTTACTTGAACGCTTATATATATTAAATCACGAAGTATGAATAAATGTATACTGAACTGGAATATTCAAGCATGATCGATGACCAGTAGGCGCAATATTTACAAATCAGGGCAAATACGACGCTGTAAGCAAGAGAATGTCAAGACAATTTTTAGTCGAGTCATTTATTTCCTAAAATGCAAGCTCTTGTATCAACATGCCTGATTAAACTGCAGTTAAAGTCATCACTTAATATTCACTAAACAAGCTACACTCGGGATAAACATGACTGCAAGTTTCATGATTGGCAATTTCCTCATATAGCACTATTTCTTATTACGGGTAAAGCAACGCCTTCGCTATTCATTTGCATTGCAAGAAACTAATGTGGCGGTACGACAGCAAGCTTGGTCTACTGGCCAAATAAGGCCTAAAGCGGACAGTATCTGAGAAGCGATGTTCACGATAACGATTGCTCAAGAAGTCCTGGCAGTCAAGCCTAGCGAACAACAACAATTGAGCCACAAAGGCGATGCATGTCTTGACTCTCGTCAGGTACAACAGCAGTCGAACATATGTCAGCTGTCCTACTCAAAGTTGACAACTCCCGATCGCGAAGCTGGATGTGGTCCATGTAAGTTAACTGCGCCCAGCATGACTCACCAGTCAATGAGCTTTATATTTCCGAACTGGTTAGGATGGCTGACAAACCTGTTAGACTAATGTTGGTGTCTCAGATTAAGATACTTTGTTCATGGAATTAAAACTTTGGTCTCCGAAGTCGTTTGAACTCATTTGAGGCTGAAACAATTTTATGTTTGAAGGACCAATATAATATGGAGATCATCAATTACTTGTTTTGTGCAGTTGTTCTTTTCATAGGTAACTAGTTGTTCTCGTGTCCAAGTTTTCTAAATTTCTCTGTTTTACAAATTAGAGTTCAATCAGAAACACAATGCGTAAATGTCATCTCAAAAATTTTCGAGTAAGAGGATAGAAATATCTAGGAAAATAACCCCATGTGGCATCATCGTGTACGAGAATAAAATTTAGCATCAAATTAAATCTCGTCTCGTGCGTTGTGCAAACCTCAACGACTCAAAGATTTGCACGGATTATTAGAAATCACAGACACCAAGTAAGATTCCAGGAAATTTTGTAATGGAAAATAACATCACTGCAGAGATTGTTCAGAGATTTATATCAAGATCTTTTGGATTTTTTTACGTGCAACGAGTCTAAATAAAGTTCTCGAGATGAGAAGGGTGGTGTAACAAAAATTCCGAGAAAATAGCGCCACGAATTTTTTTCAAATCTAAATAAATTATTTTTCGATTAGGAAGTGTTTTGGTACCTAACAATAATCTTGACTTTTCGGAAGTGACACCTTAGCTACAATATCTTTCATTGGTTTGCGTGCAAATTAATTTTATTGGAGAGATAAACAAAAGACCTGGAGATTACTAGTGACCCTAATTTTAGGAATAAAAAATGCAAGATAATAGGTAATGGACATTAACCTCTTTAAGATTAGGTCAAGCTTGAACTGATGGATTCAGGGGTTGGGTAGAAGACCGTTCGGATATGGCGACATGTAATTTTTGGCAAACATGGTTATATTGCAGGAAAAATTTATGAGAGAAATAAAATTCGAAAATTTTGTTTCTGGTCGCAAAACAAATTCCAAGAAAATTGTTTTTCAGCACAATTTTTACTTGAAATTAATTCTAACTCAAATTGTGCACAGGGCATCTCTATCGGTCGCCTAGTGTACAGTATCGTCGGCGCTGAAGAATAGGCCAAGTTTTGCCTGTCGCCGATTCATGACTAAGTCTCCTCCAGTTCTTCTCTACTAAGTTCTGCTTGACCATGAACTATTAAAAGTCTGAGCAGCGAAGCACGAAGATGAACTGATATTTGCGACGTTGAAGTGAATCACCATGCTGTGACTCTCGCGTTTAAAGCGACACGCCCTACGCAGTACGATACCCTACAAGGCAAGACTTCACGAGCAAACTTGGGCAGCAGCATTTGATTTCGACGAGCCGTAAACGAAATGTACGTCGACCTGCACCAAGTTAGGCACGAACTACGAGTGAAATTATCGTTCGCTTAAATTTGCGGGCACGAAAATATGCCCATGCTCGCTGTTTGGTACTAATTTTTTATGTAAAGAAATGTAGTATTAGTATTGCAGTATTAATATTGTAGTATCTCCTATGTAGTACTGCATAGAACTAACAAATTTAAATATATTTGTAGTTTACGTTTGTGGAAAATGTATTTCTAATAGCGCCACTGGGGGTAAAATGTTCAATTGATCAATACTGATGAAAAGTCAATAGTTGTATCTAGCTTCACGGTCAATAATAAGGCCGAGTTCATTTACAATTTACAGTTTTCACCATTCTAGAGCCAAATCACCAACTTATCAAATCGGTTTTATGATACATGCCCACTAGCGAAATTGCCCACAATTATCACATATTGCTATTAGATTCTAGACGCAAATATAACTAAAGCTGACTACATAGGCAGTGCAGAAAGGCCATCCGAACATAAATGCAGCAGTGTGTCAATTTTTAAAGGTGTCAATTTTTTACCTATCATTGAAATTGAAAGGTATTAGCATATTACAAAACAAGAAAGGAAAATTTTAGAAGGAGCTGTAATTTTTGTCCAATATTCTTTCATACATGAGCACACAAATTTCAAATATGCTTAAACTCCCGTTAATATCAATATGCCACACAGTATAGTAGTTCATTAGTGGTTATAACAACAAAAAAATATAAAATACCTGCCATTCAATTAACTATCACATTTTAATACATATGTACATGCTACTCCATTGGAAATATACCGAATAATAACAATATTCGGAATTTAAAATAAATATCAAGAACTAGAATACAGGAAGGGTATCAAAAACTTTTCAGCGATAAAATACTTTAAACTTTACAATTAGCATGAATTAATGTGATGAATTTTCTGACTTTTGGAGCCAGACATAAAAAATATCAGCCAATTCTCATCAGTCATAATTTTATTTAAATGATTTTTTTACATGCTAATACATGATAATTGAATATTTTGTTAATTTTGTTTTCTTATAATTAATCCTTGGCTTTATTGTCGTGGTATTTAGGAATTATGTTGCGAAAGATACTTTAAGTTAGTCAAGCTGGAATTTTAATTAATTTCTATTATAATTAGTTTAATTCAATTTTCAATTTAATTTATTCGATTTTTAATTAAATTAATTAAATTGAATTTGAATGTAATATAATTATTTTAAATTTAAATTTAATTAATTTATTAATTAATCATAATTTATTAATTCTTATTAATAAATTTATTAATTCTATTTATTAATTCATACTAATAAATTAATAAGAATTTATTAATTCTTACCTTGGATCCGATTTGGTTGCCGCACTGGCCGGCCTGGAGGTGGAGGACTTCCCTCATGCTGCTCGTCTGCCTGATAAAAATTCTCGAAAAGAATTTCCTGCGTGAGCCGGGAAATTTATACTTTAATGTCTGAAAAATAAATGAAGTGAATTAAGAGTAGGATAAATTATTTGTGACATTCAAAAATATTACAGAAGTATTTAAGATGATGCATAAAAAATTGGACAGCGTCGAAAATATTCGATAAAAATTTTGGAGAAAGCTTGTCCTACACCTTTTCGTTATGATGATCTACATTTTACAGAAAAGAATTATCGTAGTTTCCAAACTTTAAAAAATGAACATGGTAAACTTGTCTTCTAGATGGTAAATTTGATTTTATTTGAAATTGTATCATTTTACCATGAATGTATTTAATAGTGAATTAATAATCGATTATCAAATGCTAACATTAAAATTTTAATTTTAACATAAATCACAAATGAACATAAAGTAATTAAATACATTTTACTAACATATACATTGATGAATTTTGTTCTAGATTATGACTTCGCTGAACCTACAATTGAGCTCAAAATCAGATACGATTAATTGACTGGACTCTAATTAAATAATTGGAACCATAATTATTAAGACAATCAGAATTTTAGTGCTCTGCTGCATACCTAAAAACATTTCAAGCGATTAATGAAGAACCACTACTAATTAGAGTCACTATTAATTAGATTACTAAATAGAATTGCCCTTCAACAACTTAAAAGTTTCCAATTCACGCAAAAAAACGTTCGTAAAGCAATGCTAGCTTTTCTAGAGGCTTCCTAATGGCCCTAGTTAAGTAGTCTCAAGTTTACGAATAAAAAAGATGACATGCACGAGAGAGTCGAGAGCTCCCTAGAGCGCGTGCACACACCTCCACGACTGTGAGTTGTCTGCTGCAGACCAAATACCAGGACCCTTTTTATACCTGGCGACGACCGTTCGCCCTCGATGTTGTTTGTGCGCCTGGTATGACTCATCCAAATGGTGTACGTGGCGACGTTCGTTTAGCAGGACCAAGTATAGAATTCTTCTTCACGTTAAAGCGTGCGCTTGTGTTTAAGGCAATAAGATTTATAGATTTATGAAGGTTTTAGGTTTTCTGGACAAGCTTCTGCATATTGTTGTGTTTACTCGAAGTGGAAAAATGTGCAAAATAGGGTATTTTTTTCACTCCTGTGTGCACTCTAACCATTTAAAAATTTTCAAAATCGTCCTGCTCATTCATATATAACGGAACAATGTATTAATGAGCATACCAAAATGTGAAACGATTCTCCTATGATGGTATAATTACACGTGAAATCGAACGATCGTAAAATGAAAAAATGTTATAAGAGTCACCGTTCTTTCGTAAAATCAAATTCTCTTAGTAAAAAATCGACAATATCTTCGATATACGTTAAATGTCAAAGATTATTTTTAGATTAGATTTTCTTCGTTCGTAGTTACAGTCTTACAGATAACTAGCATTAGTCATGCGATCACGCTTTTTTTACTGCTCATATAATCTTTAGAGGTTCAATGCAATATAAGTCCCTATTGAAAAACAGGTTAGTCAAAGATCGCGATTTCTAGCTTCGACATTTTCCTTATATATGCATGCAAGCAATGAGCAATTGTCTGCATGGTAAATGTGTTCATAGACTCACGGATAAATCAACTGCATTATATATAATGCTGGACTTAATTTACATTATTGACATGACCGACTGCGACGCCCAATTTGAATGACGCATCGCCTTGTCAGAGAAACTTCATTGCATTATTTTTCTTCACGTTAGAGAATATCAAGACAGTTCAAAATATTCCATGAGCATTATTTTTACTAAATTTGTGAAAAATTCACAATGACTGGTAGAATATTTAGTGAGGATGCGTTAAGTATTGTGGGCGTTCAAAATATTATTTACCAGCAAGTTTATTTGATTTAGTATATTGAATTTGCAAGAGTCATGTGTTGAAAAACTATCACTATACATTTACCTTATTAACTTTCATATTCCATTATTGTGGATCATTACTTGCACTGCATTGCAGTTTCCAGTATTTGTGATCCATAGAAAATTTAAAATATATTCTATTTTCCATTATATTATATAATAGAAAATAGAGTTTCTTCGTTCATAATGAATCATTACATGTGTTGCACATTCATGCATGAAATTTGTTACCGGTTGAGCATTTTATTAATAATAATATAATCGGTTACGGCAAACTTTCAATTTTTCTCACAGGTTACAAGAGCAGGCATCATCCGTGATTCCGTCAATTCGATGTCATTTACTAAGTCGACTTTCGGTTGTCCTATTCAGAAGCCTGCAAAAAAATGATATTCTATTAGACTTTTCCGAAAAGTTAAATACCTTCAGTCAGTCATAATAAAATTTCAGTTAAATAAAATAATATTCTACGTTAAACAAGACGCAAGTTTTAAATTATTCAACAAATTCTTCGTCATTTCATTACAGAGATCAAACCGCGTCTATACCACAACTCCTTCATTAGTTAGAGTTTTAAGACTTTCTTCAATAATGTGGCAAAATAAAAATGTTAAAATACATGAGGAAACTAAAAATGTTTCTGGTGTGCATTAAGTTTAATTTGTTTGTTCACTTTTGACAGTTTAGAAGCAGTGCTGTAAATTAGTACGGACTTCAGATAATTAGAACTTGCTTAAAACAATTAGAACATACTTCACCTAATTACATATTACTTAGAACAGTTAAAGCTTACTTCAGATAATCAAAACTCACTTAAAACAATTATAACTTATTTCAGATGATTATAACTTATTTTAGATAATAAGAAATTACTTAGAACAGTTAAAGCTTACTTCAGATAATTAGAACTTCTGCAGATCTTTTAAGCGCCCAGGAGACGCTCGGCAAGTCACATACACTTCACTCTACGAGCTCGCCGTGACTGGCGACAAACTTATTGATGTTAATTGTTTACATTATAAAAATACTCAAAACGATCAGAAAAGTCGATCATTTCGATTACAAGAACTTCGGTCTTTTATAAAGTTGTATTTGCTTTGAATTGAGCGAATTTACTTAAGTATTTAAATTATCACAACATTCAAATACATTCATCAATTAATTTAAAAATGATTAATTCTTTCAAAATTTTGTCAAGCTGCTTATACCTTTGAGACCTTTTATAATATATTTTGTCAAATTATTACTTAATATAGTAATTTTCAATTGGCACACTGCGCCGTATGTGATATTCAGCAAAATTAACACTTTCGCCAAGGCGCAGTTTTAGAAAAGAAAAGATCAGTTATATTTTCTCGACAAAATCCCCACCCATGTTTCAGCGATGATTTCGACCCATGTTCCAGCCATAAGAACATAAAATTTCGGGATTGTGGAATTTATAAAAAAAAATTCTTTGAACGCATTAAAAAAATAAATAGAAATTTATTATTCTGTGAGTCACGCAGTAATCATTTTTAACTTGACAAATCTACAAATCTTGATAAGTAAAATTAGGTAATCATGTACTTCGCAAAATATTTCATAAAATTTGACTGCTCTCAATTCATTTTCAAAGTTTATTAATTAACATATGGGGTGCAGATAATATTCATAGCTTAAATTTCGAGTTAGGTTAGACAAGTTATATTATATGACTGAGTAATAACATAACCTGACTTGAAAACAATAATAAGAAAAATATAATATAAATAATAATAACATTAAGTTATACAATATAGTTGAGTAAAAACATAACCTAACTTGAGAACCATAATAAATATTGTAATATTAGTAGTAGTAGTACTAGTAGTAGTAGTAGTAGTAATGTAAGGAATCCTACCTACATAATAACTCAATGTAAGGTATCCTACCTACATAATAACTTAATGTAAGAAATCCTGCCTACATAATAACTTCATGTAAGGAATCCTACCTACATAATAACTCAATGTAAGGAATCCTATACCTACATAATAACTTAATGTAAGGAATCCTACCTACATAATAACTTAACCCCACAACTGAGACCTGCAGTCAGACACCGCGAGCTCAGCGGTGGGGCGCTCAGGAACAATCCCCCTAGGAACGCGGAATCCCATAGGACTTTTGACGCGCACAGACACCCGTCAGAAATCCCGCCTGAGGGGCATAATAAAATTAACAATATAAATATTAATAAGGTTAAGTTACACTATATAACTGAGTAATAACCATTACCTGACTTGAGAGCATCCGCGCATTTTATGGATAAGGAAACGATCAGTAATTGAACATTATCTTTAATAGGAAGTTTTATATGTACAAGTAAATTGACAAAAGAATATGAAGGTGGTTCTTTGCTGTAGCGCTAGTGTACATTGAAGTTGTGGCTAATATTTCCATGTCATGCGAATTGAATGAACAGAAATTTGTCTCTTGCGACTTTGGAAATCAGGAAAAAATTTGCTGACGAATTTTCTTTTATACTTATTTAACACATGTGTATGTAACAATGTATAGATAGGTATTTATAATATAACATTCCAGCGTATACGTCATTTCTGTGTGAAATAACCAGTCCAAATAACCGTGCACTTTCTGCCCTTGCGCGGGTCATTTGGACCCAATTAGTCTTGACCTGAGGTCGGATATACGACCTCAAACGGCAGTATATATCCGAGTAAAATTATCATTAATATTCACCAAGAATTTCGCCCGCTTCAGAATGTTGCTGGTGTGATTTTTTTCATTTCGTGTCGATACAATGAATATTTTAACTTATACAATGCTTTGAATAGAACTATCAGGCTACAAATCTCACAATTTAATATAATCAAACTGATTAATAATTCGAGCACAGCCATTTAAAGTGTATATGAAATCAGACCTGTCGTGTGAACGCTGCAACTCTTCTGACGTATAACTAACCACGTCAATACTTTATTGTTCTTCATGATTAATGCCTAATTAATTGACTTAATTAAGTGACAATTGTATTTTTGAGCATTTTCTTGACTCTTGCCAATAATAATTCGTATGCGTAATTCGGACAAAGAATTCCACGTTTACAAGAGGCCGCTAAATTTAAAGTAAAATTCATTCATATTCCATCAATAATGTTGCATAATTCATGTTCCACCATTCATGTTCCATCATTCATGTTATCTTGAACGAAGGCTTTTTATATAATCTAGTCAGGAATAATCAGTTTGCGGTCACTGCTAAACTATTGGCTGGTGGTTTCATTAGATTACAACATTCAATATGTCTTGAATGGGAAAATTTAAGAAGTTAATTCGATGGTATCCTCACCACTGATTAAACTACAAATTTTAATCTAGGAACTCACATTCAAAAACAATTTAAGCTTTTTTTCCAATGTAGATATGGTGAATTTAATTGGCCCCTTCGATGCTTTTAAATTCTTGGTGAACTTGAGATTTATGCAGGCTTTTGACACAAGTACTTATATACAATTTAAACACGGCGAGCTGGAAAAAGATTTTCAGTCTGCCGATTTCAGCAGCAATTTTGGGACTCTGGACCACTATACGGACAGCAAGTACAGGGCCTCTGGCCCACTATAGGGACATCAAGTACAGGGCCTCTGGACCACTATACGGACAGCAAGTACAGGGACTCTGGCCCACTATAGGGACATCAAGTACAGGGACTCTGGCCCACTATAGGGACAGCAAGTACAGGGACTCTGGCCCACTATAGGGACATGACCCGGCGAGCAAACCTTACTTCGAGTTTTAGGAACCATCGCAACTGGACCACAATGGGTCCAAGATACACAATCTCGAATTAGACAGAGTCTTACAATATCCTTACAATACTTTCCATATTTTAATACGTATCTGGGAATAAATTTCACCGTCTGATTATGCTGTTAATTTCTATCCAAAATTGCCAAGATCGTTTGAAATAATTTCTATCTGTCTTGCATATTAAATTATGACAAAAATTTTACAAAACAGTTTCATAAAAATAATGAAAGTAGCAGAGAAGGGATAACGAGTATTTGGAAAAAAAACCATCATGAATATTTTCTGAATTTGATATTTTTAGACGACAATGCACGTAGAATACGCAACATTTATCCGCGGGCATTTGAACTAATAATGCTGCAAAACATATTATTAAACTAAGTTGAATTTTAAGAATTACACTTAAATTTTCAAAATTCAAATAGTTACGGACATGTGCCATCTTTAACTTAGTTTTTAGGACTCAATTATCATAAAACTATTTTTCTATCTTAGACCAGATAAGTTAAGTGAATTATGCGACGTTGCTTTTAATACATATTATCCTAAATTGTGTTCAAGTTCCTTTGTTCACCTCACATAATCCTTGATCTCGCTTTCCCGAACGGATGAACAAATTATCATTGACCGTAGTGGACAAATTAACTAAATTATTAACCTAGAGTGTGACTATAACGAATAAGCAATAGGTTCGTCCAAAAGGCCATTGGCCTATTTCTTCAGCGCCGACATTTCTATTCTATTCTAAAAGTGACATTTTCATTTCTTTAAAGGCCTGCGACGGTGATGGTATTTTAAGACTTCAATATTTCTCTCTTTACGTCCAAGACAAAAAAGTTAATAAATTAGGACCTTCTCTATGACCGAGTGAAGTTACTAAGCTTAGCCATCGCAACCTAAGCCAAATTAATTGATTGAAAACAAACAGAGGCGCAAATCATTTCAAAAATTTATAATCTTGGGACAAATTTTGCGTATTGAGAAGCAATTCCCCGACGTACGAATTACAACAGTTACTTGTTTATCAACATCAAATAATTATCCCCCTTTTCACTGTTTATTTTTAATGTTGACTTCCTTTCTCATTCACCGAGATAGCAATGCCTCTGAAAATTAAACTTAGAGTAATTAGGTATAGTTAAACTTAATTACTATTCAAGCTGCCTTGGTACAATGCAATCCCTGTAAAAAATCTATACACTTTTCAAATAACATTTTAAAAAATATGTCAATGGAAAAAAGTACTTAAAAAAAATGTTGCGGGTGGAAAAAAATTACTTGCAATGACCCGTTCAAAAAAATTATTGTCAAGTTTAAGATATTTACAATTCGATGAATTCTCCTAAACTCCTACTATTTACAGTCTTGAATCTTACGCAAAATATCATTCCAATTTTGATTTAATGCTAAAAAAAGAGCTGATGCATTTAAATAATGATTTACATACCGCTTAGATGTCAGTAGTGTTGGCCGAATTGCTGTGGCCGACGCTACTGCATTAATTGAGTTTTCTTGCTTAATTTAAGTCTTAATGAAAAATGCAGCAGTGGGATATTTAACTTCATGAAGATAAATTTGGCGTTCTCGCTCCGAAATTTTCAGCAAAAATGTCAGTGAGAATTTGTTTTCATCAGAGTAATGTTATCAGTAAATTGTTAGTATATGAGCTACCATCAATGCCACATGAGTCATCACTATGCAGTCACTGCACCTCGCCTGTCTTCACTGAAAAGCGTACAATATTGATCCAAACTACGATTTGTAGGGTTCTATAACTCCATGGTTGAACTATATAAGGTTGACCCACGAGAAGTTCCGTCTTTCAGTTCAGCTTTCTTGTTACGTCACTGAGATCGAGAAACGTAAACAAACCGTGATTCCCATGACGTATTGGTTGACTGGTTTGAAAACATTTCGGTGATTGGTTAATGCCCGTGTCGTCACTGAGATCAGTGACGTCACAGGCGAACAACAAACTACATCCTCAAAAATGCGCTTTTCATGGGACGAACTTATACTAGTTCAACCATGGATAACCCTGTTATGACTACGAAGCTGTTTGGTTCGCGCTAGAAAGATGTGCTTCAGTTTTGATTATATAAGTAATCGTTTCTATTGACGGGTGATGATTTTAGTGCTGCTGGCGATGTTATCGGCATTAACGGGAGCTCAGAATGTGAATTTTGAAGAAATTAATTCACGTATTCGTATTCGGATAATCAAAAATTAAACAATTTGAAAATTTTTGACATCGAACTTACGTGGCTGTTGATGTATTGCTTCCAAGTTCTTATTTTGAGACATGCATTCAGCTGTTAAATTAATCCAACCCTTCCTCGGAACCATAAATTGATTCTTACTAAAATGTCAAAATTGTTTAGTTTGAAACTTAAATTACCAAGTAGCTAACGATGCAAAACAGTAGTAAATTTAAACAAATTATCAGTCATCAATGGACATCGTCATGTATAAATCAATAACATTTTAAGAAAGATGAATTCACGATAATTATCTAAATTATTACAAAATAGAGCACAAAATTACAACAACCGATGAACAAAGTCCTTATAAATGATGAAAAATGTTATAGTAAAATTACATTTTGAGCAAAACGTGAGCGGCAAAGTTACGAGCGATGTAACTGAAAGTTACGGCTATTGGTAACAATTGTAACAAGTGGTAACAACGAACCAAACATCAAAGTAATAACTTGGTAGTTACAATGAGCGACAGCACTGCACCTCATGACAAGTTCTGACCTCAAGAACTGAAGTTCAGACCTCAAGAACTGAAGTTCAGACCTCAAGAACTGAAGTTCAGGCCTCAAAGAAATGAAGTTCAGGCCTCAATAATTGAAGTTTAGACCTCAAGAACTGAAGTTCAGACCTCAAGAACTGAAGTTCAGACCTTAAGAAATTAAGTTCTGATCTCAAGAAACTGAAGTTCTGACCTCAAGAGCTTCCCAACCTGATGAATAATATCGATTTATTTTCCAGCACAGTGGTTGATTAAAATTGATTATGAATATTAGCAAGCCATTGCAAATTTAACGTTAATAATTAATAATAATGAACTGACCTCAACATAACAAAACGTGCTCGATGTGGATTGTAAACTTCCATTATCGAGCGGCTTTCCTTGCAATTTTCTAATTTTCTACGGTCAAAATTAGTTAATTTTGGTTGTGTCTGAAACAGCAGACTGCAGAATTTGGTGGCAAATAATCGAAGTTTTGTTGCAATGCCATGAGGCTGATCTCTAACTGAATATATTTCCTGTTGCAATAACACAGTAAATTTAAAATAAATAACAAAGCGGCAGTCATAGCGCCCAAATTATTGGAAAATTCAATTTGTAAATCACCCAAATTGATATCATCGGAGCAACCCCATCAGCCAGAAATTGTGATACTACACGAGCAGGTAAAATTGTTTCCCATAATTCAAAGTGAATATTTTTTCTAAATGCATTTGGTCATTTAGATGGACCGTAAGTCTTCAATAGTTGGGTATATGAATGCGTACGCTCGAAGGTTCTGTGTTATTGCAACAGACTTATTAGTTTCGCGGATTTTCCTTATTATTATGGCCAATGATTATGCTAATAATTATATTGAAAGCTGATCTGGAATCAATGAACATAGGCAGTCGTTTTGGGAAAATTGAGACTGAAAATTTCAAGTATGCACTTATGAATTGTTGAAACGATATTGAAGACTCTAGCAAAGCTATTTACAGAACCCTGGTCTTATTCTACAAAAGCACGTGTTCAACAAAGAAAAATCGTTGAGTCCCATTCATAGAACAGCATTCAACTAACGACGCACAGTTCGCGAAAGAATCGACCGTAGAGCAAGTAAAATAAAAGAAATTAATTTTTAAACAGTTCAATGTGGCCCGAGATCCAGATGAGGTTTGTCAGATAAAAACTCAGGGATACTATCTAAAGGGGTTCCAACTAGAGTAATGTATGGAATTAACGATCATTTGAATACAGCAAAATTTTCTTTTTGATCAACAGCCTATACAGATCGAGAAATACATCATAGGCACAGCTCTGTCGGTGAGTACAGTTCGAAGTCGGCGTTTGTAAATATAACAACTTAAATCAAGAGTGAAAAGATCTAAGGTGTCCAGAGTGAAACAATAGTTTAAATACACAACTAATTAGGTAGATATTTATCAATAAGGCCTCCAGACCACATCAGCAGAGTTCTGGTTGGCCGCCCTACTTGCGAGGTACCGAGCTTGCATGGCTTGGTCATCAAGCATTGGGGTGACACCTCCAGCGATCTCACGGTAGTCGTGTCTGGGGTACTGATCTTGTCTGTCTATTAAGAACTGTCCTTGTTGTTGATACAAGTGTGGGTAAAGAACTCCAATTGACGTTCCCAAATAGTTCTGCCCTGAAGCCGCCTGGGCAGCGTAATAAGAACCACCTATATACCCAGAGTACCCAGTCGCAACAGCGGCAGAAGCGGAACTGTTCCCGCAGGTTTGCATGGCACCCGTGTGAGATAAAGCCCCTGACGGTATGCCGTTAGGTCCACTTCCTGTAGGAAAAAGACTTCCTGGAGTTAAAACAGCCGGCGAAGAAGTGCTAGTCACAGGAGGTGTAAATGGCGAACAACTGAGATCGCTGACGACTCCACGCATGTCGGACGCAATCCCGCGATGGTCGGGGTTGAAAGTGGACGTAGAGTTCGTTGATACAGGCACCGTCTGGTCGGTCATTGTAGAGTTCCTGAGATCAGGGGAAGAATATCCTGAAATCATATACTCCTGCTTGTACTCCTGTTTGAAATCGTGCTGCATTCTGTCGTTCTCGTGTAGGTTTGTTAATACAGTAGAATTCCCTGCGCTCGACGTGGCTCCCGTCATCTCATAATCAGATGCTGCGGTGGTGGGGCTGTCTTCGATCATGGCGCTGCTGCCACCTGCAATAAATAAAACTGTGAGCGTTGGGGCTGAGAAATGGAGAACAAATTTATACTAGCATGCACGAAGCTAAGGTCCTATAGTTATGGCATTTTGGAGGCAGTGCTGCCAATTAGAACTCATTTTAGATGTATTAAACCACAGTAAGTTTTCCTCAGCTATGGGATGAGTTATAGCCAATTTTTATTACTATCTAAATAACGTATCACTGGTGTGAGGTTGAATTTTTATAGAAAATTGTGTTATGTGATGAGGTGTTACGAGAATCGTTTGTAATTTAACATAGAGAATTGAAAATTTATGATGAAGCGAGTTAAAATGTAAACAAAATTTAATATTAAATTCTTGCTATCAAAATTCATGCAGCTCCTACACCTATTTCCATGATAGTATAGTTGAATTAGCGTCCAATCACTGAGATTATTTTTACGCGAAATCAGGGCTATAATTTCTCCGGTGTAATTTCCCCACCAAATTAAGAATAATGCAACAAATTCAAGCGCGTGGTGTTAGATTCATCCTTTGATGTTAGATTCATCTTCCTTTGATTCAATTCAACTATCAACTATTGGTATTTAAAACTAAGAAGCAAAGTATTCCGCCAATTCCTTTAATTATCTTTTAATACAAAAAATCTATGTCATGAGTAATGATTTTGTTAAATGTCATGTTCAACTGAGGGTTATTAAACGTGTGAACGAAAATGACTGCAGAAAAAGTCCCAATCAGAGCGGATTTTGCGTCTTCCGTTGCATACATAAAGTTTCATTCTAACAACACTTTCTTAGGCAGTCAACATATTGCAAGATCAGTGGTTGCTTTGACAGATTAACATAGCCTTATACTCAGAAAAAGAAACGGGTCATGTTGTCCAAATAGCGACATTTTCTTACCCGCAGCACTAGCAGAAAGTAGACGTAGCACTGATACGCCCTTTTGCAGGGACAAACCTCACCAGGGGCCGTATTATCAAAACGTCGCAACTTTTTGTACTTCCGACAAAAAAGTTACGTGTTACGTAAGTACACCCTAATTTTGGCATTCTCAAAACATTCGTACGTAAGACTTAGCTAAAAGCGTGCTATCAAAACCATCTGGCCAGCTGACCAATCAGAGGCTTTGGATTTGTTTACATTCTGTGAACTTCGATGGCGGGAATCGATGCCTTCGATGGTATCGACTATCGAATGAGCCCAGAAAAAGCCGTTCTAAAATAGTTGTGAACTCTTTTTAATAAACAGCGTGAGTTGAAGAAGAAATCTGTGTACGGAGCAAAAAATTATGGTTGGCAGAGATATAAACTACCGACTAGAAGGAATGAATGGTGAGAGTTGGGCGCGAAAGCTTTGCTTTCGCGCTTGTAAAATATAACGTAATATCCATTTGCTTGTAAAATATAACGTAAAAGGAAAACAAAATCAGTTTCTGGCATTAACTCAATTGATTTTTTTCCCATAGCATTGTTTAGCACGATCGCATATTTTGATCGTGCAAATGTTGCACGATCAAGTAGTGGAGATATCACAAGTAGAGCCATCATTCTATGCGTGGATAATCCGCGCTGTCGGATTATTGACAAAATTCTATCACAAGTCAAGGTGTAGCTACTTGCTAGTAAATCAGTAGTTTCCTTTCGCTTTAAAAGACACTCTAAACTTCTGCGGAACTCCCCTTACGACATCTCCGAGCAGGCGTACAGTTACGTTACGTATCTTCCCGCGCAAATTTTTTGATAATACCACCTCTAGAGTTACGTCATCAAGTCAGCACTTACGCCACTCGCAAGTCGATTTTGCGTACTTACGAAGTTTTGATAATACGGCCCCTGGATGACCCATACAAGCGCAAAAAGTGCATCGTTATTTGGAAAAAGTTCCACTCATCATTCTGGGTGAACGCATGTATTAGCAGATCCCGCTATAATTTTAATCGCTCAGGACCTTCAATTTACGAGTCCAGAGCGAGGACGACATCCGCGAGCAAATAAATTGCCGTCAGTATATTAGACGCGCGTCTTGCAGTACTCGTACGAGCGTAACAAGTTAGCACAATAAGTTTAAGCTTCACGCTTTCGACGGCCTGCAGTTGCGTTCATTAGCTCATAGCTTAACTGTTGATCTAAATAATTGTGAATAATGCGAATAGAATCCCGGCAAATTACGATACTTAAAGAATTTCGATAATACAATATTTGTATAAAAAAATCGTATCCAAAACTTCGCGTTAGTTCATGTCCATTTTTAGCGCATTTTCTCATTTATGGAAAAAGGCGCGCTATTGTGCTCGTCATGGCCGTCCGTCTGTCTGTCTGTCCGTCCGTGACCACGTTTTCATCGACGAGAAAATGCGCTCTCTGTCACTCACTGCAGTGAGTACTGAGTTATATTTTTTTCATTATTAAACATGAAATTTCCTATCGACGTTCACAGGTTTGCCATTGGATGGCATATGAGTGACGTTCTGTGAGAAAATCACAGTCGCATTATAATTTCACGAGGCGTTGTTTCGATTTTTTTTTTGTTTTATTGTGAAAATTTCTTTTAAATTTGTTTACAGTATACAGGTTGCGTGAATTAGATGCAAATATGATTCGTAAACACATTACATAAGTATTTAGATATCATTAGTCTGCTTAATTTACAATTTTAACAATAATTTAGAAGCAAAAGAAAATTGAATTCCTCATATCATCATCGATAACTTTTCGAAAACAAGCTCCATCATCTGGTAAAAAATTTAAATACTGCAAGTAGAATCAATCGAAAAATGCCGCATCCACACGAGAGAATAAAGCCTTTCTTTCTCGTAAGAGATTAAATCCATTCTTTCTCGTAAGAGATTGAATCCATTCTTTCTCGTAAGAGATTGAATCCATTCTTTCTCGTAAGAGATCAAATCCATTCTTTCTCGTAAGAGATTAAATCCATTATTTTTCGTAAGAGATTGAATCCTTTCTTTCTCGAAAGAGATTAAAATGTTTATATAAAAATGAAACTTTCTAGAAAAAAAAGGTTTAAAGCTCTATCTCTAGAATGAGATTAAAATCTCTGTCCAGAACTTAATCAAAACTTCGCTTTCTCAAAAGAGATCAAAACCTTTGATGTTGAACCACCTCTCCACATTTCCACATTACAGGAGTGACGCCGACTCTTGCGTTGCACTTCGACTTCAGAGGCAGACGACGACACTTTAAGCGACGAGCGTGTCAGTAAATACACGTCAGAGGATGTGTCGCTACGATGTTTATCCTGCAATAACTTCATGATGGCAACCGCAAGTTACTGAGAGCGGTAGTCAAAATAGAGCGTGACGATCACGCACAAACTTCTTTTGATCGGCGCTCGATGATGCTTCGTTATATTTAGCAACGCGCAAAATTAGCTTCAAGTGCAGTCATTGTGAGGAATTAGCACCGACACGCAATGTCACTGAGTTTTATATTGTAGCCAGGATAGCGGGAAAGTCTAGCGATTAGTGAAGGCAATGACTTTACAGTGAATTTTATTTGAAATTTGTTCATAGAAGAGACGGCCTCAAGCTGATGCTTAATAATTTCGGGCTTACGAGGTGAAGAGAAATCATAAATTAAAATGAATAATGACCTGAGATATCAAGTTGCGCTCCAAAACTATATTATTAATTGCTATTTGAGGTCTTACTTCTCGAATTTTAATTTGGCCAGACAGCGAGGACGTTTGATTGTCATCGAGTGCACGGAAGAATCAAAAGTAAAAACGTTGATTAGTTTTCATTTTGACAATAAATAAGGTAAATTTGGGAGGAAACTTTGAGCTATTTTTACCTCAGGAGAATTTCTATTGAGGATAGGGATCGGTGAACGGTCCGTTTTAGAATTTATACCGAAGTAAACAAAAGAAATTCATTAGAAGCAGTCGGGGGAATGTCACGGACTATCAGACGAATGACATGGACGGCCAAGTAAATGACGTAGAGACGTCCAAATGTTATTGGGATGCTCAGGCTAAAAAAAATGACCTGAAAATGCATTGTTAATTACCTGGAGACGGCCAGACTAATGACCTGAAAATGACTTCATGACCGTCAGGCTAGTGCCCTGAAAAAAAACGTAAATGACCTGGAGACGACCAGGCAAATGACCTGCAAATAACCTCAAGGCGGTCAGGCTAGTGCCCTGAAAAAGCTTCGCAAATGACCTGGAAACGACCAGGTAAATGACCTGAAAATGTTCGGCAACTGCTTTGAAAAAGCCCTGAAAATGACCTGGAGACGGCGAGGCAAGTGTTATTTGGACGGCCAGGCAAATTTCATAAAGTTGGCCAGGCAAATGACATGGTCGGTGAGGCAAATGACCTGGAAATGGTCAGGCAAATGTTCTAGAAGCGGTCAGACAAATATCACCGGGACGGCTGAGTAAAAGGCCTAGAGGCGGTCAGGTAAATGTTCTAGAGGAAGTCAAGTAAGTGTCACTATGACGGCCAGCCATGAGTCTTAGTGGCGACTTAAAGTTCCAGAAGCCGAACTTAGACTTAGAAGTTAGAGGCTGCCTTAAGTCCCAGAGGCGGTCAGGCCATAAGTCCCAGAGGCGGACAGGCCAAAAGTCAAGGAGGCGGACAGGCCAAAAGTACCAGAGGCGGTCAGGCCAAACGTCCCAGAGGCGGTCAGGCAATAAGTCCCAGAGGCGGACAGGCCAAAAGTTCCAGAGGCGGACAGGCCAAAAGTCCCAGAGGCGGTCAGGCCAAAAGTCCCAGAGGCGGTCAGGCAATAAGTCCCAGAGGCGGACAGGCCAAAAGCTGTCTCTTATACACATCTAGATGTGTATAAGAGACAGGTACTTACATGTAATGTGCTTTTTCATACAAGAGCTTTTGGGTGCTAAGTACTTACATGTAATGTGCTTTTTCATACAAGAGCTTTCGGGTGCTAAGTACTTACATGTAATGTGCTTTTTCATACAAGAGTTTTTGTGTGCTAAGTACTTACATGTAATGTGCTTTCTTCATACA